TACTTATTCTTTTTCTCAACATTTTTTGACTTTTCAACTTCCTGAGTTTGCTAGTCCCATTCTGAGCTGAGATACTTATTTTCTTTACTCATCCTGAGTGTGTTCAGTTGACTCTCCACCATTATGTTCAGCTTATTTGTCTCCTGTCTAAAGGTTCACCTCCCCTACAAATAGTCACCCTTGGGAGAATCCTCTAACGTACCATTTTTTTTTAACTTTTCTTTTATCTTGGTTCTTTATAAGACAGATAGGGAAGCTTTTAAGAGAAGGCATTTTTCACTGAAATTGGGATGAGCCATAAGAGGTGTTGCTCTCACAATTATCTTCCATTTTTCTTCTTGAAAATTATTTCATAGCTTCCTACTACTTTATATCACCTTATTTACATCTAGAGCCATGTGACAATAACTTGCATTCCATTTTGAATCCCTATAATGCCAATCCACTCTATACAAATATGAATTAAGCAAATAAAAAAGACCATAATATAAAGATTAATAAACTCTCAATTCATGCACAAAATTTGAAATATGAAACTAAATAATTTAATATTTCCTCAAGAATTGCATGGTTGCAAAGATGGTTGCCTGAGTGAATGATGAATTGTGTTTATGCTAAGGCCAAATGGTGAAGTCTCAAGCAAGTGAAAAATATTCTTTCTTTGTCAGAATTTCATGAACCATACATTTTGTATGAATGGTGACTTCCATGTCAGAGTTTAGTCACTAATCTGCTGTTATTTAACCATCCACTATTATTATAATTTAAAATATTTATACATCTTATAACAATATAATGCAAGCATTTATTAAATGGGGGTGCAGAAAGCATTGCAAAAATCATGCCTCAAAAATCAATTATTTTGGCATGGAAGTTAGAAATTAATGAACAAAACTCTAAATAAAACCAAACAACTGCCAGGGCATGATCTACTACTAAAGTGGAAATAAACAACATGAAAAATATTAGAAATAATGCTTAAAAATTAAAAGCATGAGTATATAACACAACAGCTAAAGATTTATGTGCTCTGAGAATAGTCCACATTATTTATATTTATGCCTATGGGAAAATCAATCTTTTAAATTTTGTGAGTTTTTCCACACTTATATGGAAAAGTGTTTTTCCACACTCCTTTGACAAAGGAGCAAAGAACATGCAATGGAACAAGGACAGTTTGTTCAATAAATGGTGCTGGGAAAACTGGACCACCACATGTAAAAAAATGAAAATAGATCACTACCTCTCACCATGCACAAAAATCAACTCAAAATGGATAAGAGAACTGGACATAAGACCTGAAACCATAAAATATATAGAAGAAAATATAGGTAAAACACTACAGACATACATCGCAATAACATCTTTAAAGACTCATCACCCAAAGCAAAGAAAGTCAAGGAAAAGATTAACACCTGGGATAACATCAAGCTGAAAACCTTCTGCACAGCAAAAGAGACATTAACCAAAATAGAGACACCCCACTGATTGGGGAAAAATCTTTGCACTCCACTCAGCTGATAAGGGACTGATCACAAAGATATACAAAGAACTCACATGACTCAACAACAACAACATCAACAAAAACAATCCAGTCAAGATATGGGCAGAAGAACTTAAAAGACATTTCTCCAAAGAGAAAATGCAAATGGCCAATAGGCATATGAAAAAATGTTCAACATCCCTTATCATCAGGAAAATGCAAATTAAAACCACATTGAGATACCACCTTACACCAGTAAGAATGGCACATTATCAAAAAAACAAGCAACAACAAATGTTGGAGAGGATGTGAAAAAGGAAATCTTCTATATTGCTGGTAGGAATGCAAACTGGTCCAACCACTATGGAAAGCTATCTGGAGCTTCCTTAATCTACTAAAAATGGAGCTACCATATGACCGGCAATTCCACTCCTAGGGATCTACCCAAAGGACACAAAAACAGTAATTCAAAAGAGCACTTGTACACCTATGTTTATTGCAGCACTATTTACAATAGGTAAAACCTGGAAACAACCCAAATGCCCAAAAAATAGATGACTGGATCAAGAAGATGTGGCATATATACACAATGGAATATTAGCAATCAAAAAAGATAAACTCATTCCATTTGCTGCAATGTGGATGGAATTAGAAGGAATTATGATCAGTGAAATAAGCCTGAAGGAAAAAGAAAAATATCAGATAGTTTCACTTATAGCAGGAATACAGGGGAACCAAACAAGACATCAATGTAAAAAAATAATAACAGTACAAAACACAACAAAGCAAAAACAGACAATTATAAATCAGAGACATACTGCAGGGGAAGAGGAGGGAGAGGGATCAGAGGGAGGGAGGGAAGAGCACAGGGGACTGAGGTGCAGGACCATGATGGTGCACGGGTGCATTGGTGAAGGAAACTCTATGGGGACTATACCTGAGGGAGTGGGGGGAAGCAAATATTGCTTAAAAATGAAAAATGATGTAAAAATGAAAAAAATAAATAAATAAATTTTGTGAGTTTTTAATTATGTATCTTGCAACTACATTTTGCTTCAGAGATAGAGCCAAATCCCATGTACATAGGAAATGAGGTTGAGTTGCATTTTTAAAAATAATACATTTTTGTGTTTTTTCTAATTATTATGCTTATTGGATCAGAAAATCATAAAAAGAGTAAAGAAGAAGAAAATTACCTAGAATTACATCATTCAATGACCAATTTTACTAGCATTTTGTCAGTTGTTCAGTTTTTTTCCTCTATATTTTACATAGTTTACATTAAAACATCCATATGATTTAAATATATTTATTTAATGCTACCCTAATATTGAAACATTAACTACTTTCCAAGTCTTGCTATTATAAATAATTCAGTGATAAATTATTTAATTTTTCCCTTTCAATATAAATTTTATTCCTATTTTGAATTATTTTTCTTATGGGAAATTTCTTAGAAGGTGAACTATTAGGTCAACTAGTATCTTGAAACATATTGCCACATTCCCTTGCTGAAAGATAATTTATAATCTATCTGACAACATATAAAAGTACCAATCTCACCCCATCTTCACCATACTGAGTATTATTATTTTTTTGAAATACTGGCAATTTTGTTGGCAAAAACATTTTCTTTGTGTTAATTCACATCTTTTATTATTTGTTAAATGGAGATTCTTGGGGCCTCCCCGGTGGCGCAGCAGGTTGAGCACCGTGCTGTGAAGCTGTCCACAGCCTCTGCAGCACCGGTTCAATCTCCACCTGCTGGCGAGAATCCCACATGGTGTGGTAGACCTCTCCTGTCGTGCCTGCTGCGACCCTCAGCAGTGTATTTCTGTCGTCTGCCTGTTCTGCTCCCTGCTCCTTGCTCTGTCTCTGGTGAATCCTCTCATCTTCCCGTGCCTCTGGCCTGCACCCCAGCTCTTGTATAAAAAAAAGGGGGATTCTCCCTGTATTACCAATTAGTTAATCATATTTCCTACTTTGTAAATTGTGTATCTTTGCCTTTCACTCACTTACTGGGTCTTAACACTCTTCCTACCAATATGTATGAGCTGTTTATATATTAAGCATACTGGCTCATGAACTATCATATTTTCTTGTTTTCTAAGATTTGAATGCCATTTTTAATGAGAAAAAAAGAATTTAACATATCATGAAGGTAGTAAATACTAAAATGGGTAGTGAATACTAAAACACACTCTTTCAAAATACTTCAAATTATTCTTATTTGTGTATTCTTTCAAATAATTCTCAGAGTTCTAATAGAAAAAAAACCTATTGGGAATTTATAAATGTAATTTATAAATAGTTTAATTTTTCAATTCTATAAAATGGTATTTGTTCCCTTTTACTTGATATTTCTGGCTCAGTTATCTTTGGAAGTATATTTTTTTTAAATAATGGCTACAAAAGTGATTATTATTATCTTCTTGTTGGTCTGCTGGATTACTGTTAGATGGCAACTCAACCTGGAGTTCAGGGAAGCTAGGCTCTCTCACCCTAAGGTAATCTTGTCAGAGTTCCTCCTCAGGCCCATTTCCTCCAGTAAAGTTCACTGGATTTTCTATGGTGGCACAGGGCTCCAAGAGTTGGAAGTAGACTTCTTAATAGGCAGGCCTAAAACACACAGGGTCACTTTTGCCATGTTTTATTATTCCCAAAGCAGAGGGGCACTTACCTCTTGCTGGGGAAGTAGCCTATGTAAATAATTTGTTCAAAGTGACAACTTTCTTCTTTACTGATCATGGTAGAAATCTCCTTACAAAAATTTTTCAGTATTTGTTGTTGTAAGAAATTCGTATGTTTTTTTCTTGCATGGTTTACTAAACAGTTAGTGCTGATATGAAGGGAAGCTATTGTCTTTGACATATTTATTTGTATTCGATCACCTTCTTAACAGCATTATTTATTCTAATTACCTCTTAGTTTTGTACTGTGGTTTTCCTAAGAAGCTAACTATACTAAGTAAAAGTGAAGATGATTGTTTTTCTCCCCCTTTTCAATAGCGAAACCTCATCTATTTCACTAGTTAAGACTTCCACAACAAGGCTAATAGGAAGCAGGCTTGTTTGGTTTCTGCTGTATAATTTTTTAAGTATAAATATATTGAAGTTATAAACTGGACATATTTTATCAACATAGGCATTTCACAGAACTAAATCAAGCCACTTTCATGTTTTGATGCAGTACAAATGAGTAGAAAGGTAGATTCTTACTCCAGATAAAATGAATTCAGGGAGGATACAATAAAACAAGATGAGGAAAAAAGTAAACATATTTTGGACACTGTAATATTTTTCTCCCTGAAATCTATAAGCTTCCTGAAATAAGTCATGACCACAAAACATTCCATTGACATCCACAAATAGTTAATATTCAAATAAATGTACAATACCATAAATTTGAGTAATTTCTCCTTTTTCCCCAAGTTTGACTAGTTATACCAGAGGTAAAAAATCATTTTAATCATATAAATAAATATTGGAATGAGGTTTTTCAACCTTCTTTTACTCACAAGTGGTTGATAATCATATGGTGGAGCATATTCTTCAGCATATGTTGTCAACGTACACCTAAGAGAAATAAGTCAATATTTAAGAAAAGAACAACTCAAAAAAAAAAAAGGGATATTTAAAAAAATTTAGTGGTATATACTCATATGTTCTAGATTCTGGGATTCTTTTTATAACCCACTTCCTGCTTCTCAATTCTTTTGACCTTGTGCCCTATGTTCTCTGTTAGATGATAACCGAAAGATAACCAAAGACAAACAGATGGACTGGGATTACAGTTTCCCCAAACTCCACCCCATTAAGCATACAGAAATGCTGGATGAAATATTTTCTCCCTCCCTAAATTAACAATATAGTCAAGCTCTAAAGGAAGTCCTGAGGGGACAGAAATGAAAATGATATTTATTAATTAGAGTGGGAAGCCATAAACTGATGTCCCAAGTTCAGGTGCTACAGTTTGAACATCATATCAAAGGCAGGAGACATGGCCTTGTCTTCACTAGAGTCAGAGAGCAAAACTCTTTCTTACAGCTATGGTTCTATACAAGTTATACCTTCATATAAAGGGATCACAAAAGCTCATCACCAGTCCTGGCAAATTTGCTCTGGTTGGTGTCAGCATGAGGGAAAATTATTCTCATACAAGATATTAAATCTCCATTTCTTTTTGTTTTTTAAAGATTTATTTATTTTTATACAAGAGCTGGGGCACAGATCAGAGGCGCACAAGGGTGAGAGGATTCACCAGAGTCAGAGCAGGGAGCAGACAGACTGAAATACACTGCTGAGGGGAGCAGCCGGCACAACAGGAGAGGCCTGCACACCAAGTGGGAATCTCCCTGGCTGGCCAGGAATCAAACCTGCACTGCAGAGGCTACAGACAGCTTCTACGGACAGCTTCACAGCACTATGTTCAACCCGCTGTGCCACTGGGGAGGCCCTTAAATCTCCATTTTTATTCCTGGCAATGTTATAGAGCTATATGGTTTAAGAAATTCCTCTGAGTTACATACCTAAAAATATTGAGTAAAAGGAAAACTGAATGTTTTAATGCAAGGCTGGGCTGGTGGGAAAGTAAGAATTCAACAAGTAAAGAAATTTCAAAACACAAGAAAGTCCAACTCAGAAGGATGTGCTAATATTTTCCTGGTGATAATCACCAACTTCTGATGGGCTTTTGTGGTTTCCAAAGTAGCAGCATCAGCATCACCATGGAACTAATTATAAATGGAAATTCTTGAGTCCCAAATCAGACCTACTGAATTAAAAACTCTGGTTGGCAGCAATCTGTGTTTCAACAAGCACTCCAGAAGATTCTGATGCACACTAAAATTTGAGTACTAACACAATTGAAAGAATAAAAATTAGAAGTATAACTTTCAACCAGCAAATCAGGTTTTTAAGAAATCTACTAGAAAGTAGGAGAGGAGATTAATAGGAAGAAAAGAAAATAATATCTGTGCATAAGTCAACATCACAAAAATAAACCTATATGTTTTTGCAATCACAATGAAAGCAAAGGAGTTAAATGCATTAGGAAAGTATTTTTCTCAAATTTAAGTTGAACAGGAAATTGTATTGTGTAGTTCAATTTTAAGTTTTCATATCTAGAATAAAATTTTCTTAGTAAAAGTATAGCAAAGGGTATATCTAGCAAATATTAATCCAAAGCAAGTTAGTTGTTCTTAATATTATCTCTAATAGTCCTGGAGTAAAAAATCATTAGTTATAAAGATCATTATCTATTTATTAAAGGAACAAATCACCAGTAAAATAAAATAATCCTAAGTCAGTAAATCTAAATCAGTAAACCTAAACTAACAACATATAGAGTATGCAAGGCAAAAAACAAACAAACAAACAAAAAACCACAATATAATCACAAAGGTAAGAGAACAACTCCACATGGAGTGAGTTTTTAGAGTTTGTTTCCAGTATCTAAATTTCTACATACATTCTCCAAAATATCAATAGCAAAACAAATAAAATCACACAATTGCCCTAGTATAGATTTGAAAATAGAAAATACTACAAACTTTGGTTACATATTGTTAAGAGAATATTGTTCAGTAATACAGCTAGATCCAGAGCTGTGCTAGAACAAAATCAAGTGGGGATTACCCTAAAGCGAGGAGAGGGTGGCAAGTCCCTGTGGGGACAGAACAGAAAGGAATTGCCCCCAGAAGACAGCATCCTTTTCTGATGGAGGGATACTGACAACAAGTCTAAGTACCTAAATACTAGTTTTTGAAGAAAAAGGCTTGGAAAGTATACAAGACCAGAAAGGAAGTCTTGGGAAGGCATTATTTCTGGTGAGGAGGGGGACAACCAGCAAAAATATGAATAGAAAAAAAGCCCAAAAATTAAGGGATCTAAAAATAAAAGGCAAAACCAGTACCATTCCAAAAAGATTGCTTTCATGAAATAAATTAACTTCATTGTTCCAACAGAGGAGGGCGCTCTTGAACTAAGATATTGAGGAAACTGACCAAACTTCTCATTTTTCCCCCTCCTTAGAATGATTGTCACTAGTGTGGGGAAATCCAACATAATTCAAATGAACAAAAAAAGGGGCGCTATTACTCTGAGAAGAAAACAGTAAATGAGACTCAAAGCTCAAATGATGAAATTGCTCCCCAGAAATATTCCCAGCCACAAGAAGTCCTCCATCAGCATTTCTATTCAATGATACACAGGAGATATAGCAAATGCAGTAAAAACAAGAAAAGAAATAATTGGAATGAGGAAACAAAACATTCATCTTCCACAGATTAAAGACTCTCTACATTAAAAATCCAAGAAAAAAATCTGTAAGTCATGAAAACAGGTAAGTTTCAGGAAGGATGTTGGATCCAAGATCAATATACAAAATAACACACCCATATGCCAGCAATAAGAAATTAGAAGATATAATTAAAATAGAAAAATTCCATTTATAATTACAATTAAAATCTCTAGGGATTTTACAGAAATAAATCTAACAGACTATTTCGAAGACCTTTATGGAAAAAATTATAAAGTTTGTTGAAGGATACAAAATACCTTCTTTATAGAGATGACCCAATATGATGGCAATTACTCTATACCTAACAAATAGATATAAATGCTAGCAATCTAAATACCAACAAGGTATTTTTCCTGGAACTTGATAAACTTGTATTAGATGACTCCAGAAAGTGCCAAGAAAAGAAAAGACAGCTTTGAAAAAGAAAAGTAAACTTATTATACCAGATATTAAGGCTTACCATAAAGCTTTAATAGAACAATGCTATATCTGTGTAGGTATTTACAAATAGAGCAATCATGTAGAATAGAGTAGAACAGACTGGCTTGAATGTGGGATATTAGTGCATGATGAAAATGATTTCATAAATCAGTGATAAAGGGGAAGATTAATGGTACTGGACTAAATGGTTGGTCATATAAGAAATGTTACATATATGCATATATAAATAATTTTCTTTCAAGAGTGAAGCACATATGATATTTTTTTTTTTTGTGGGACCCTCGCTGGTGGCTGGGGATCTAGCTGGCGCTGCAGAGGCTGTGGGCAGCCTTGTAACCCAGCGCTCAACCACTGCGCCACCAGGGGAGGCCCCATTTAGTAAAGATTTTTAACAATAAAACTGGGTAGTGAGTAGATGGGTGCTTGAAGAGTACACTATATTTAGAAATATTCCATATCTTAAAATGTTTAACTGTTAATAAATGATAATGAACTGCTTCCCCTACCCTAGTTTCATCCAAAGTTGTAATTCAACTGAAATAACTATTAGTCAAATATCAGTGTTACTTTGGGCAGACTGACCTTGCAAGGAAAGGTCTCTGTACTCATTTATTTATTTATTTTTTAAGATTTATTTATTTATTTATTTATACAAGCACTGGGTACAGTCAGAATCGCGGGAGAGTGAGAGAATTCACCAGAGTTAGAGCAGAGAGCAGAGCAGGCAGACTAACGAAGTATGCTGCTGAGGGGAGCAGTGGGTGGCAGGAGAAGTCTGCGCACCATGTGGGACCCTCACCCAGCGGCCAGCGATCGAACCGGCGCTGCAGAGACCTCGGGCAGCTTCGCAACCCAGCGCTCAACCACTGCGCCACTGGGGAGGCCCTCTCGTACTCATTTAAAGCAGATAAAAATCCATTCTACCCATATTCCAGTCCTTCTCCCTTTCTTTATTTCCACCTTCAATCACAGGGTAGGCACAGAAATACATTTACTGAATGAATAAAATTGCTATAAAGAGACTCAGATTTACTAGAAAGATAATTCCATGTAACTGGAGGTTGAAGATTAAAATATTCAGCTATCATTTTGAAAAGGCAATGTGACTTGACAAAGTAGAAACTTATAATACTAAATAATGACTTTCCTATAAACTTCGTGATTCTGTTTCTTTTTAAATCTGAAGACCAAATGAAGACCAAAATCAAATATGAAATACTATGGTCTTTTGAAAAGAAAAATATGGAAGATAAATCTAGCTCTTCCTCTTAGATATCAACCTAAGGGTGTAGCAGAAAGGTAAGGAAGGTATTGGTTCTAGGAATGGTCTTGGGGAAGAAGTAATCTGGTTCATGAATAAACCTCTCTGGTCTGGAAGCAAAGCAGGAATGCATCAGCTGGAGCTGGAGTGCTCCAATCCAATTTATGGCAGCCACACACACAATAAATTTAACTCATTGTCTGGAACCACCAATATCAATCTTATGCCGCATGACTCCACTGCCTATAGCTGATAGGTCCAAATATCAGCTGCCAGTCCATACCCACTGAGTCAAGCCCCACTTTTCAACAATTATCATTTCAATTGTGTTTCTGTCCAACCAAAAGAGTCCTATTAAAATCAGAGTCTAAGACTATTGATCATTGTAGTCATATAATTCACTCTCCTGACACTAACTTCCAATACACCAAACATTCTGATTATAATTTGGCTTCCCATATGGTTTTTTACTGAGAGGATGCTTTTATTGATTGACATGACTGGTGGGCTTGAATATTTTATTTCTTATAAATTTACTAATTAGAATTCTCGCTTTTCTTGGAGTTTAATGAA